CCACCCCCACCCTACCTCCATCACACCCCCGCCCTAACCAACAAAACTGTTGTACTTTTGTTTAGTAAGTCATCGTAGTGAAAACAGATGCTCGTCAAAATAATAAAATCTTGGAAACCGGCATTTTGTGGCCTTTGGAAAAAAAAATTCTTGATTTTTCTTTCTTTCTTTCTTTCTTTTCTTTTCTTTTCTTTTTTTTTTTTCTCAACACCTTTTATGTATATTCAAAAAAATATATTTCTGTGTGGGTTTTACTGAAAAGCGTTAATCGAAGGCACACAAAATGTAAATTTGCCGTTTGCATGGACTCTCAAGATTTGAAAGTCACCAAACTTTAGCGGACATTTTCAAGATAATGTTACCTCTGACACCAAGCGACCCCCACATCCTTCTGTCGCAAATGTATATGCATCAACTTCGGTTCAAGTTAGAAGGGGATTTTTTCATCAAAAGCAAAACAAATAAACAAGCTTTAAGATTATACCAATGACTCTACATGCCCAAAACTTGACGGTGCGAGCGCTTGATTCCACCGCGTCGCGACGTTTGTTTCAGCGCTCTTCAAGACCCTCGCCTGCGGCCCTGACCTTTCCGCTGATGTTTAATGATAAAGAATCTTTGTCTGGTTATTGGAACTTCATGTAGGCTCTCCATCCAGCTTCGATATTATTTGCCCAGCGGTGCTTACGAAACGACGGTCTTGTAGAATTAAAATGTGTATGCATTAATGACTGCTGTTTACGATAACACTGTGGTCGTTGGTGGGTGTTCCTATAGAAACATGACTGGGCTCTCAGACTTTTAACCGCAAGGTCGTGGGTTCGAATCAAGTCAGGGCCCCGACGTTGTGTCCTTGAGGAAGACACTTAGCACGACTTTTCGTCCTTTCACCCAGGTGGGAATGGCTATCCGGCTAATAGTAATAGACAGTTTGTTAGTGTTTTAGTGCGTGCAATTCGTGATTTACTCTGTGTTGCTTCTGGGTGCTTTAAGGTCTGATTGGTGGGTGGTTGGCGGGTGCTCTGGTGTGGTTTGCTTCTTCTTTCATATCAAACTTCTATCTTCCTTATCTCCCCTCCTTCTTTTTGTGTGTGTTACTCTCTTGTAACTCCTCTAATCTTCGGCACTTATATGACATTATTGTGTTGCAAGTGCCGTAAAACACTTACTAAAACTAAAACTAAGGTCTGATTTGCGAAATAATAGCTGCAAAGTGCATAGAGCATGGTGTAGGTCGTGTCTATGAGCTGGATAAATGCACCTTTTATTGTGAGGCTTGCTCTCTCTTTCATTACCCCCCCCCTACTATCTATCTAGGGCTAGACGATCAGAGAACGTATAGATCTAGGGGCTCTCGTCGTCTAGAGGTAACAATGTTCGCCTCGCACCCAGTAGGTCCCGGTTTGAAATCCGGATAGCGACGGAAAATTTTCTTTTCTAAGATGTTCTAGTTTCACTTCCTTTCCTGCTCTCTAACAGTGTTCGGTCGTCTGATTTCGTCTCTACTTTTAGTCTTCACCCCCACACCTCTCCCCCTTCCCCTTCTCTGTGCCCCTGACTCTTTCTGCAGCCTTTCTACTGCTACTCCAAGGCTCATTCTTACTGCTGTCGTTCAGCCACACCCCTGCTTATGTTAGGTAAAATGTAACTCCTAGCCTTCACGGATAAGGGCGTTAAGTCTCGGAGTCTACGTGCGCAAATTTCTTCCTAATTGATCTAATTTGTGTCAATGTGGGTGACCCCCCCCCCCCTCCACCTACATTAAAGCAATGGATGAGAAGGATACCATATCATATAGCAGAAAGACGGACACACTCGATATTACAGACTTTCTGTCTTAGAAATCGAACCCATTCTGTCATGTGCAGCGGAGAAGAGCCTATGGCCATTCCACAATAGACACCGGTTTCAGAAAATTAGGCAAAGAAAAAAACAAAACAAAACAAAAACTCTATCCCCCCGGACGTCAAATGAATGCCGAAAAAAACCCTGTTCTTTTTATATTTCCAGAAAATGGTAACAGTTGTTTTTTATGTAGGTGTTTTTACGCCCCGAACGACACAATTTAGATCAATTAGGAGGTGGGCTTCAGCCATGCCTGTCAGGGTCAACACATGCTGAGAGGAATACAACGTTCCAGCGGATGGACCAAAATACTCGATAAAACTTCTCACCACATGGGAATCGAACTCAGGCCCTCTGCATTCGAAGGCGAAACATCTAACTGCTTCACCACAAATCACAGATGCTAACAAGTCAAACATCTTTATAAAGTAGTAAGCTAATTTTGGACATTATCATAATATTTCCCTTCATGCTTCCCAGGAAGTTGACGTTGTTTCAAATTGCTCTCAGGTCTGCAGCGGTAATAGTACAGATTGTGAAACGCATAGAGCTTGTTGCTGAACGGGGATTTGCGCTATACAAAAGTTATTTATTATTATTATTATGTTGCTTACGAGCAAGCCAAACGTTTTGAATTGGATGAATCGCTAAAGGCAATAATTTCGCATTTCCGGGTTTAAGCTTTCAGGAACACAAAAACGATTATAGGCTGGAACTGCATCGTAAGTTATCCCTCTTTTGACATCATATATCTAATGGAGCTCTAGATTTAAGGTCAACTACTCGATTCCAACTAGATTATGGACCCATTGCTGTATCGATCTGGTAGAGCTTGTGGGCAGCTGTAGTTGATAACAAAGAGAATTGAAGGATTACCAAAGATTGTACTTAACAAGATAGTTCACTCTGCCAAAAACGTGTCAACGGAAGTCCGCGCATTGTTTCAGATGTCGATGTAGTCTTTGTTTTGAAGCTCTCTTTCGTTTCTCCTGGAGAGAATAGGAATAGCACCCCCTGCACACCTGCTGTTCCGGTTCGCTCAGTGCAGAGTTTTTGGTTTATTTTATTTTAATGACCTCTCGCCTCTCGTTCAAAGGCCAAATTAAACGAAGAAAACAGTCATCCCTTCCACCTGATGAGGATTGTGTCAGCGTAACCATTGAAAAAGGCATTGTTCCGAAATTTTAATTATAATTTATGCAGAAACTTGTTAGTTTCAATTTCACCCCCCCCCCTCCCCCCACACACACACAAGAATGATAACTCTGTTCTCAAAGGGGCGCTTTTTCAAAGAGGACGCCACCGGATTTTGCTGACACTTTTATAAATTAATTGGTTCAAAGAGAGGAGTTAACCATCTCGTTATACAGAATCTTTGGGATTACCCGGGTTTGGTCCCAAGAATCGATTACTACCCCCCTACCCCTACCCCTACCAAAGATAGTAAATAACAAGATGGGCCACTCAGCCAAAAAAGTGTCCGCAGGAAGTATGCTCTTTGCTTCAGATGGCGCTGCAGTCTGTTTTGAAGCTCTCTTTCGTTTTTCCAGAAGAAGAATAGGAATAGCACCTCCTTGCTTGCGCAGATCGACTGCTGTTCATCAGCAGTTCGGGTACGTTCAGTGCGGAGTTTTAGGTTTTTTAAATTTTAATGACCTCTCGCCTTTCATTCTAAAGTCAAATTAAACGAAGAAAACCACCACCCTTTCCTCCGGAAGAGGTTTTTTGTCAGCGTAACCATTTAAAAAAAGTGTTCTTCCGAAATTTATCCCAAAACTTGCTAGTTTCACTTTAATTTTTAAAAACTCAAGTAGGGTAACTCTGTTCGCAAAGAGTGCGCTTTTGTGAAGAGGGCGCCACCAAATTTTGAGGACACTTTTTTAATTGGCTCAAAGAGAGAAGTGGCCCATCTTGTTATGTACTATCTTTGCCCCTACCCCTACTCTCCTACCCCTTCCCTTACTCTCCTACCCCTACCCTTCACCGATTAAGTTACTATCGATATTCCAGTCCTATTGGGGACAAACCGGATATTGCTAAAGTTGTTTTCCGGAAACCTAATGTGGTTACATGGTTCTGACTCATGAAATTGGACGCAGATGTAAACCACACGAGATACAGACAGTAAATGTGTCGTTCGAGTTCTAGCAAATAATGATGCATTCATAAAACCTGTAGGATGGTGGTGTGCTTTAGTGTGCTCATTCTTGGCGATCAAACATCTATCACCGTTATATCTCTCTTCCCCCTTTTTGGGGGGGTTTGTTTGTTACTCTCAAGTAACGCCTCTAATCCTCGGGACTTATAATATGACCTAAGTTTGTGTTGCAAGGGCTATAAATCTCTTCTAAAACTGAACATATGTAGGTATTTATGTGGGTTGTTTGTTGGAGTTCTGACGTAGAGTTTGTTCCTTCTTTCTGATCAAATATCTATCGCCCGAAGAAGAAGAAGAAGAAGAAAAAGAAGAAGAAGAAGAAGAAGAAGAAGAAGAAGAAGAAGAAGAAGAAGAAGAACAACAACAACAACAACAACAACAACAACAACAACAACAACAACAATAACAACAAATTTTGGATTTTGCCCGGGTGGCGGCCGAGGCCTATTCTTATCGGTTTTAAGATCTTAAAGATGCGTAACTTGCACACGGGACCTCCGAGATTTTTCTCCTTTATCCGAAAAGACCGTGTGTTAGATCTTATTTACCCTGAAATCAGGAGTGTGGATGAAAGACAGCAGTGAGAAGGAGCCAAGCAGTAGCGGTAGAAAGGCTGCAGAAAGAGTCATGCAGGAGTCCAGAGGAGGGGGCAAAGGGGAGGGAGATGGAAGGAGGGAGCAGAAAGTGGAGACAAACGAATATGGATAGAGCAGGAAAGATGGTGAAAGGATAACATTTTTTAGAACAAAATTTTTCATTGCTGTCCGGATTCGAACCAGGGACCTATTGAATGACAGGCAAAAACCATAACCTCTAGACCACGAGAGCTCCCCATCCCTAGACAACAATTACAACAACAACAACAACAACAACAACACCAACAACAACAACAACAACAACAACAACAACAACAACAACAACAACAACAACAGGAATAGAGCCTACTGGGCTGTTATGATAAACCTGGAAAAAGAAAAGATATCAAATTTTCGCAAAATTATACTTTTTCCAAAAATCAGTTTATTCAGAAATGGCAAAAAGAATGCGATCTGCAAAAGCATGACTAGCTTCACATGGCATTTCCAAATTGAGAGTCTTCTTGCTTTATGGCCTTTTCTCCAGTTGCATTTACTACCGCAGCTGGGGTTTTCAGCGGCTGTTTTTGTGCTTCTTTCTTTTGTATTGGGACTGCTGTTTTTATTATTTTTCTTGTTTAAGATGTTCTTGCTGTTGGTGGTTATGTTTGGCGGCAGTGTTGCTGCAGCTGCGGTTGCTGCTGCTGTTGTTCTTTCTCTTGCTGTTTGTTGTTACTGCTGTTGCTGCTTCTGTTGCCGAAGTTTGTATAATTTGTTTGTATGAAGGCCTGCATTATTGGTAGGGGGGTCACAACGACTAGCTGGTCCGCCCGCGTATTGACTACCCCTTCCCTCCGTCGTTCATTTTTCAACTTTGTAATGAGCGTGTTGCACACGGAAAGTTCTCTCCAGTCCAGTTCTCCACACACCAATCAACTCTGAAGCCAAGGATTTGTCGGACCCCCTGATTGGTTCCGCTTCCACGAGTGTCTGTGTCGTCTGGGGCTCTGATTGGTTGCTCTGCTACCACACCTCGGAGACACACGCCACAAAGAGGATCTCGTCAGCCAATGAAAACACGGCATTGTACACTGGCGGCCGCACTCAGAGTTGCAACATTTCTGGAGGCCCGGGCACTGGTAATCGCTGGCGCACTCGTCTGTGCAGACAGCATTGCTGTCTCGGAACACACGGGGACAGGTGCCTCGTTTAGGCGCCCTTCTCACTGTGGAAGACAGATTGAATGTGGTGTATGAGAATACTATTACAGAGGTCACGACAAGGAGTCACATTCCCTCTCCGAAGGTGTTTTTTTTTGGTGGGGAGGCTGTTTTAGTCACAGTTTTACGTCACTTGCCAAACCATAAGATGCTATACTAAGGGTCAAAGAGAGAGTAGAGGCGTAACTTGAGAATAAAATAATCAGAAATGAAGGAGAGATGAGAACGATAGACGACGACAACGATGTCGAAGATGATGATGATGATGAAACAACGACAATCAAGACTACGATAGCACTAGAAATAAGAATAAGCTACTACTACTACTACTACTACTACTACTACTACTACTACTACTACTACTACTACAACAACAACAATAAAACACGCTACAGACACTCCAGCAACACAAGGCAGTCAATCTAAACCCCGCCCACTCACCTCTCGTGTCTTCCGTACAGACTTGGCCACACCCATTGTAGCAACACAGCATGGCAGGACCACAGTCTGAGTGCGTAAGGCATTGATTGACACACGAGTTGTCCAATGAGGAGAAAGCTGGGCATCCGGGGGAGGGAGCTAGTCTTTGTACCTGGTTCTCCTCCTCATAGGACGACCGGAGATTGGAGGGAAGTTCTGAAGAGGCTGGAATGAGGGAACGAGATTCCTTAACGACACGATTTATATAATATTTTTTCCGTTTAAGTGATTTAAACTCCCACCAACACAATTTAGATCATTTCGGGGGTGAGCAGGCTGGAAAAAAAATTAATATAACAATATTAAATATTATGATTTATTCACCCTCGAGCATTTGACTCAAATCAAGGTATTACTTTAGTAAGTAAGTAAGTTTATTCAGTGTTTAAGGTTTAAGGCCTACATCACATCATAATACTTTATTACTTTTATATAACACTCTTTTTGAGATCATTTAGGAGGTGGCTCTGGGTGGATGATATAATTTCAGGAATTTTTTATCATAAAAAGGTGCACTATCATTTACACGTTTAAATTTAAAGTAATAGAAAACGGCAAATTTGGTATTTGATCCTTTCTTTTTCTGGCAGCCAGTGTAGTTCTTTCAGAATTGGTGTTATGTGCGCTGATTTGTTTTGTTTCCTTACAAATTTTGCTGCTTGATTTTTGGAGTACAAGGATAGTTTTTTTCTGCTGTCAAATCGGATAAAATAACATTAGAATAATCTAATTTTAATAAAAATCAATGTTGTTACTAATGTCTTGGCTGCTGCTTTAGTTAAATAATTTCTTGCACAGTCAATTTTCTTCAGCTGAAAATAGATACGTTTGCTGGGCTGACTAATTTGGGAGGACACAGACATTTTAAGACTTCTTTTTGAACGAATGGTATGGTTATTGATAAGAATGTGTAGTTCTGGGAGATTTCTAATGGCTTTTGTATTTCCAGTCAACATTATTTCTGTCTTGTCATAATTAAGTTTCAATTTATTACTGACCATCCTTTTAGTTTCCGAATACATAGCTCAGTGGAGTAGACTAAAAGTGATAATCAATAAATTTATAATCTGAGTGTCATCGGCATAAAGATGGTAATTCATGCCATATTGTCTTAAAATATCAGCAATAGGTAGTGTATACATTGTAAACAAGACAGGTCCAAGAACAGACCCCTGAGGAACACCAAATTTAAGCATAACATTATCAGAACACGTGCTTCCAACCACAACTGCTTGTGTTCGATCTTTATGATGTGACTCAAACCACCACAAGACAGTACCCTTTACAGCAAAAGTAGTATTTAGTCTCTCGTGAAAAATGTCAAGATGAATGGTATCGAAAGCAGCCGAAAGGTCCAAAAGAGAAAGAAGACACACTTCTATTTCACCAATATCTTTTAAAATTTCAGTATATACCTTAAGTAACGCTGTCTCGGTACTATTGCGTGCCTTGTATTGCTGACTGATAATGATAATCTTCGCGAAGATTATTTGCTTTAATAGGCTGTAAGAGTCTGCTAGAAACAACTTTTTCCAGAATTTTGGATAAGAACGAGAGATTATGGACGGAGACACTCAATAAAAACGTTTTCCTATTCGTGAATAGAACCCAAATCATATAAGCCCTTTTTACGTGCAAAGTTTGCGCCTAAGAGAGTGGTTAGCGGGTGTTCTGGTGTGGCGTCCTCCTTTTTTATTTCCTCATCAAACATATACCATCATTGTCTACCCTCCTTCATTTTTCTTTATTTTGTGTTTGTTATTCTCTTGTAAAACATACGATTTTATTTGACTAAATTGTAAGCCCCTATCCACACAATTTAGATCGTTTTGAAGATAGGCTCTGACCCTGCCACTCAGGGCCAAGCTGGGCGGAGAGGGGTACATTAACACAACCCCATCAGAAAGACAGAGATACTCGATAAAACTTCCCCGCTCAGTAATGAAACTCCGGTATCCTGCATGCAACGGCGGAGCGCTTATTATAATACCAATGTGCACACACTGCCAATCGAATTCAGACGAGCTGAGTCGAGGTAAGCCAGATTTTCCTCGATGGATAGACCAAAGCTGCTATCATGGCACAATTCGACCGGTTCAAACGAATTCGATAGCCACCTTAACCTCCCCCCCCCAAAAAAAAATATATAAAAAAT